AAAAAAAATAATTCATGTGATCTTATTCTATGATAAGTAAACAAACTTAATACTTAAATACTTCTTATATTCATCAATATTTTAAAATAAAACATAGATTTAGACAAAAGTGAGCTCTACTTTCTATCCGAGGACATTTCTAAATAATTGTTTAGTTTAATTCTCGTTAGCTTAATAAATACGTTATAAACCATTTTATAAGCTTTCATTAGAAACGTATTATTCTATCTCAAAGAATGTTTTAATCTTTGACAAGTTGAGGGGTTGGTAAAGTTCGATTGACTAATTTATTCAGTTTATTTGCCGACTTGGCTTCTTTCGTCGAGGAAAAGTGTAAGCACCATACAGTTGAAGTCGGAATTTTAAAACATTTACACATTAGTATGGGGGAACAGGTCCAAACTTTCACTTAAGGTTATGTATGTAAATTAGCTTTAAACTGTAATTGATAACGTAACTTAGAACTACGAACAATAGGTTGAGAAAGAACCAAATTGTTAAAAGGCTTGAGTATATTTTTGTTATAACGTAACTATACTGGAATAGGTAACTTTATTACTAGAATTCAAGATAAAAACATTTCAAAAACAACTATACAACTACGGTATTAAACATATTTGCAAAAGAAACTGTTATCAGCTAACAAATACTTTTTTATTTCATTTAACTAAGTAATCTAAATTCATGCTCTGAATTTTTTTCTGGAATAAATTCGTTATAATACCTCAAAACTAAATTACATTTTATTCAATTCCTCATCATCATCCGTCAAATAATTTGTCCACGTGTAAGTGAAAATATAAATCATTACTTAAATCGTTAAAGCGTCAGAGTATAGCGTGCTAACACGATACCGTTAGAACAGCGTCAAATTTTGCATTCATTGGTTTTCCTTCCTCCCGATAGTTAACACTTAATAGGTCTTATTAATAAATTAATGATTATTCATTAATTATTCCTTTAAATACGTATCTTTTTAGAATAAGGGTATAGTGTTCTTATACTGTTTTATAACTACTGTGAGCTAATTTTAACATGTATATATTAGTCAGTTAGAAATAAGGGTCATGCTGCATCATCCAGAATCAATAAATGTGACTAATGACCCTTAGTGTAGACTGGCCTGGAAAATATTCTAAGAGACTGCGTAAATAATTGTTACCTTGTACAAAATACATTTATAATTTTAAGTAATAAAAAGAAAAGAATCTATTTCAAATGTTATACGGTTTTTAATAATCTGAAATCTACAATTTCATGGTTACGTGAAGCGATGTTTCCTAAAATACGATGAAATTGTACAACTCTGACACAACTCGTCTTGGTTTCACTGGATCATTGGCAATTAAATGTATTCTTAATACAATTTATGCTATTTTAGTATTAGAAACTTTACTCTCGTAATCGTAATTCGATATAATATTATGTATACGTTTGTTCGTCTGTTTTCTTTTTTATATAAACAGGAAGACTGCATATTTTTTGCATAAAAATAAATAACATTGAGAATGATGCAAAATTAACATAGCTCAGTATTCAGTAAAGACATACTACTTTACTTTTTTATTTAAAAAAAAAGAAGGGCAAACGAGCAGCGCATCTGATGCGGACAGCCGCAAGCTTCTAGCTGATAAAAATTAAACACAATGATGTAAGTTATAAACTGGACAAAGACATAGATAAATTACTAGATTGGCACAAACATATATATCATGTAACTGATAAAACATCCAAATATATTGGTTGACATCGCAACGTCGTCGCCTACAAAGCGAGAAAGGTCTAAACCCGTTTTCGGTATTGTAGGCGGCTACAAATATTTGTATGCGGCTTGTGAATGGACCTCGTGGACTTTCTCTCACTCGAACAAGTCTCTAACACTGACGCACCTTGCCAAGCCCTGCTGTTAGACATAGTAAACATACAGTAAATAAATAAAACACACCAATTGGAGTAAAAATATCCTATATTACATAACTAGTTTTACAGAAAAACTTTTTCTTTAAAAGAAAGTTTTTCCATATAAACGAGATTTGTATTAGGTAAACTCTAACAGAAATTGATAACCCTTCTTATACATCCATGGAAACAAAAGTATGCCACAATTTTATTTCAAGGATTCAAAAGCAATTTTCTCATACTAAAAGAAAACTTTGGTACATTCAGGATGACCGTTGATCTTGTCATTGTATATCTTTGTATGGATGTTAAAATGAAAAACGCTTAACAAAGAGTATTCTAAAGGAACATAAAACTTAGTAATAAAGTTAGGACATAATAAAATTTTAGCAAATTCAATTGAGACCACTAATTAATTAAGGTTTAGAGTATTCCCGATGCAGCACATGCGCCGCTTACTCTAAATATTTGTATAATTCATTCTTTACTTCCACCGCTTTGACTTTCGTTAGAAATGTTACCTACTTTACAAACTTTTGGGCACCTATGATCCCCAACTTTTCTACTGAGTGTGTGATTTGTTAAAATATTTTACTTTGTATAATTCTGCTACAGACGAAAATCTATCAACTAATAAAGACCATATTAATTATCATTTAATTATTTCGTAATATTGAAAGTCAGGCGAATTTCACTAAACACTTTAGTTCTCAAAATTTTCGCTTGAGCCGATTGAGCGTGCTAATGTCGCTTCGTTCGATTCATACTTTCCTTTTTTGTTAATTTAATTTCGCTGATGCCATACTTTTTCATAACACGAATATTATATAACGTTAGCAAGGAAAGTTGTAAAAATTTATGGTTTTAGAGAGTACCTTACTTTTAGTATGGATATAAACAGAAAGTTGTTGGAGCTTGTTTTGTTTTTCTTAACGCAATACGAAAATGTACGTTAATGGTTTGCAAAATAGATTTAATTAAGAAATACCAATATTCAGACATTTCTATATTTAATAGCCTGTCTTCTAACACGTTCTTATTTTGAAATTTTGACATTTTGAAGTTTATATAAAAACATTACAAAGTTTAGTTTTGCTAGAAATTAAACTTTGTTGTTTAAGAAATAAGATTACATTTTTACAAATTTAAATTCCGATAAAATATGTATACTCCATCCTTAATATTGGAAACATTTTAACCAGACATAAATTATAATGACCCATGTTATTATAATATGAATACCCTTCACAATGTCTGTCCTAGTCA